CTGCCCAGAACTGAAAATATATATATTTTCCCCAAATTCCCGAAGATTCCTCGGAGGAGAGCCGTGCCGGGGCCTACACAGCTCGTACTCCCGCGGGTGTGAGCGGCTGAGATGATAAAAAAAAAAAAAGTTGGTTGTGTTATCAGACTTGGTTTTCACTGGTTCCAGACACATTTTACAGATGACTGTGGTTTTTTTTTGTCCGACTTGCCATGACCGAAATACTGCCAAACTGGCGAACTACAAAAACCCTTCTTTGAAACAATTTCCTCCGCCTCTCCTTGCTGCACATCTTCATGTGCTCTGTGTTGTGGTTTGAGAGGGCGGCGCTTGGTGACGGCATGCCTTGGTCCGCGATTGTGATTGGTTGGGAGGAAGCAGTGACTAGCATAAACCTACATGCTAGGCTACAATGAGAAGGAAGGAAAACTGCGTTTCTTTTTTATCGAACTTTTATCGACCCTCTTTTTTTCTATTGCGCCACACGTCTATCGATCGATATATATCGTTATTGAATTATCGCCCAGCCCTACACCAACTCCTTATGAATATAATGCGATTTTATTTCATTTATTTATAGACTGTCCTGTTAAAATCTGGCAGTGTTTAAGGAGTGGAGTCCATATGTTTATGTATCATGCAATGGCGTAACTATCAGTAAGCAGAGTATGCAGTTGCTTAGGGCCCCCCGACTTCTTAGGGGCCTCGTCACTGACATTTGGTAAGCCCCCTACGCAATTATGGACTAGGACGTCTCTTGTACTTCATATGGGGCCCACCCAGATAATGTTGCTAGCGGGCCTATTGTTGCGTCATTACACCATTGGTATCATGTTTCATGAAACATAAAAAGATGCTACTAAGGTAAAGCCAGAGATTTATTTCCTTTATTGTTGTAATCTGTGTGCTTTAAATAAATCTGATTATTATAAAAATGTTGGGATCTGGAGCTGTACCACCTTCCTCCAGCAGAGTGCGCCGTGGGTCCTCCAGAACTGGAACCTTCCAACACACCTGAGGCGCATCTCCTCATCAGAGACCTGCCTATATAACCTGCTTCCAGACCTTGCTTCGACGCCGCAGTGTTGACCTAGTTTGGTTAGCGACCTGAGCCTAGTAACCTGAGAATCTTTGCTATCTCTTTGATGAGATCAGATTCTAATTCTCCCTTGTTTTTTGCCTCACAGGAAACCTGTCTCTACCTGAGGCTCTGGATGAGCTTAACCTGCCGTGATTGCCCTCGTGAGCCAAACCTGAAGATTCCTCTGTGGATTCCCCTGCAGCTCTTGGCTAAGAGCTGGAAACTCAGATTAAGGTCTGCCCTCAAAGTCAGAAGCAAGACGCTGAAGCAACTCTTGGACTCTGCTGAACTAACAGTCTCTGGACCCATCAGTGCCTTTCTCTCTCAAAGAGAAAACCAGACTTCTTCAAGGTACTCATCTGATTAATCAAAGACTCTTAACTCATCAGTTCGTTTGCTAATAAAACTATCATCTCTGCAGACTCCAGTGAACCAGCCCCTGACCAGTTCCAGTACCTGTGCATTAACCTTGTGTCATTCTTCAATAAACTCTGTTAAACTTTTAACCAGCCTCCGTGTGTGTTCTGCATTTTGGGCTAGCTCTGATATCCATCGTGACAAAAAACAGATTTGTTTGTATATGTTTAAAAAGGCATGAGAAATTAAACTGGAAAAAAATTGCATGTAATCACAATATTTAGCTTAAAAAATCTCAGTTAGATTATTTTCCAAAATCCTTCGGCCCAAATGTAAAGTAAAATAAAAACTGTAAATAAAACATAGTAAAGAAAGACTGAATGCTTCATCTGCTTCGGGATCTGAAGAGAAGGAATCACCTTCATGTTGGGGGTCCTGATGCCCCTAATGAGTCTTCAGCAGTGTTTTGCATGTAGACTAAACACCTCTGGTCATCTTGTTCTACATGTTTGCTAAGTCACTAATAGGTCTGCAACTAATCAATTAATCTGACGATAATTGTTTTTAATTAATTAATTAATAATGGGAAAGCAAAGGGTTGCTTAAAGAAGATTTTTTTTACAGTTTTAAAACAGATAAAAGCAAAACTTTTTCACTTGAAAAGTTCTGGATAGAGCATATTGACAGATGTAAAAGTTTTTTTTTAAATGCAATATATATATAATGTATATATATATATATATATATTTTTTTTTTTTTTTTTTTTTACAATTTTGGTATAATCATCGATCTAAGTGGGTCAATCTGTCAGCTAAAGGCACTTTGGAGTCTCTATACCCCAGCTAAGGATTAATCGATTACTGAATGAGTTGACGATTATTTTGATAATCGGTTAATCACGATTGATCCGATTCATAGTTTCAGCCCTTGTCCCTAACGAGAACTACAAGTTGAACTCCAACAGCGTTCTCAGAACCGTGGTCTTCCTCTGTAATAGAGATTTAATAATAACAGACTTTTGGAATTAAACAATGTGAAGCTTCTTTACAACTTTCTCTCTATCCTGTCCACCCTGTGGTTTGGTCTTCCTTTGTCCACTTGCAAAACAAGTGGATTTACTCTAAAAAGAGTGGCTGCATACAAATGCATGCCATACTTTTCAAATGAATTTTTCAAAAAGAATTTTCCATTCTTTTAAATATGTTTTTTTTTTATCTGTAATAACATCCCTTCAAAATATGCTGAGTTTTTTTTATTTTTTATATAGTAGTATGACAATACAGGAAATAGTCTGCATAGTTGCCTCTCATTTTCCATCCAATTTAATTAATCTGTCGCTGGGGTTCACCAGTTAAAACAAGACAGTACAGAACAAGACAGGATGATGCCCAATTAGAAGAAGCTGCTGCTGAGCCAAACGACAAACAGCTTCTTTTCTGATGTCACTTTTTTACCCCTACTCAACCTGAGTAAAGTCTCACTGGGAATGTGCTTAGCTGAAATAATGAAGCTAGTTACCACTCAGCCGCTGACAGCAGATCAGCTGTAGATCTAACTGCTTAAAGTGATCCAGATCCAGATCTAGATTCAGTTTCAGCCCCTCTCTGTGTGCAGTGGCAGGAGATGTTTAGATAACGGCCGCTTATTGGCTGAGCTAACCTCTCACCACCCCAGGCAGGTAAAACAGGTTAGAGAGCAGAAGGAATGCGTCTCTTTGTCTCTTTTACCAAGCCGGTTTTAAGCGATTAGATTAGAAAGCTCCTTGCAGCAGCCACACATGTAATGTCTTTATTGAGGAATGTCAATGAAAGAGAAAAAAAAAAACATAAAACAGTGTATAATTGTGAAAACAAATAAATAAATGGGGGGGGAAAGGGTGCTGTGTATTTATTTTTTTATCCCCATTTGGTGGTGGCAGCATCATGCTGAGGGAGTGCTGTTCATATGAGATGCAGCTGTTTTGATTTATAAGAAGGGATTATGATAAAACAAACAAACAAAAAAAATCTAGTTAGAAACTAATACTGGATTTTATGCGGATTAATACTGCTAAGATGCTTTTGATCAGAGTTGGTGGAAATGTGGATCAAGCTAAATAGGAGCCAAACCTGGAAGGTGCCTTCAGAAAACAGCGCATAAGTTCACCTTCCAGCTGAAGAATGACCTTTAACCGTACATCAGAGAAGGGTTTAGATTAGGGCTGCCACTAAGGATTAATTTGCTAATAGATTAATCTGTTTATTATTTTCTCGATTAATAATCGGATAGCAAAAGGTTCCTGAAGGAAGATTTTTTTTAAAGAATTAAACCAGGTGAAACTAAAACTTTAATAATTACTATAACTTTAATCGATTACTATATTAGTTGACGTTTATTTCAATAATCGATTAATCCTAATCATTCTTTCAGCCCTAGCATAGATCAATGCCAGCTGGACTTATGTCAAAGTTTCCCTTCAAATTGACAGAGTTTGAGCAATATAGGTGAGAAATATTAGCAAAGAAGTCAGCCTAGAAGTGCAAAGCTGGAAGCAACTCATCACAAAAGAGGAGGGCTCCATGAAGCATTGATTAGGGGTGCTGCATTGAAATCAACAGATCCGTGAGGCAGATACCCTGTCTACTTCTAAGGGTAGGCTTTAAATTTTCCTTTTTGATAAAGCTTTTAGTTAGAGTGGCTCAAGTTATCCTGAGCTATCTCTATAGTTATGCTGCTATAGGCTTAGACTGCTGGAGGACATAGGAACCCCCATTTCATCATTCTGCTTCTTTCTATCTCTATGTAATCACTCTGCAGAATCTGTTAGTTCAATCTCTAACATTATGCTCTCTGCTTTTTCTCATAGTAGCCTTATCTGGTCTGTTTCTGTTTGGCTGTGACACCATCCTGGAGAGAAATATCAACTGTGCTGCTGCCATCAACACCTTTGTTTATAGATGTTGGAGATCTGCCTGTTTTTCAAGTGTATTCCTGTTTCTCTGACTGTGACTGGCTGGATGTGCCCTCTTCGTCCTCTGATATGGGAGCTGGCTCAGAGCTCGTCTGTTTCCTGGATGGGGCCGCTTGTTACAGCTGCTCTTAGTATCTCTGCTTCTGTCTCCTTGAACCCCAGTCGGCCTCGGCAGATGGCCGCTCACACTGAGCCTGGTTCTGCTGGAGGTTTCTTCCTGTTAAAGGGACTTTTTCCTCTCCACTGTCGCTACAAGCATGCTTAGTGTGAGGGATTGCATTTGAGTCAATGAGTTTATGCTATAAACTGGTTTTCCTTAGAAAACTGAATCAATTTGACTGTATGATCTGCTTAACTGTAAAGTGCCTTGAGATGACATGTGTTGTGAATTGGCGCTAAATAAATAAACTGAATTGAATTGTTGATGAAAAAAATAAGTTGTTGATCTATACAATCATATTCCAAAAATAAATAAAATAACTCTAATAATAAATGCATCCCACAGAGAGGAACATGTTTAAATTTAAGTGGCACAACCTTTAGTTAGAAAACAACTTTAAACTTAGTTTTGCTGGTATTGATGGTGTGATCTAAGGGGAGATGTTTCCTTACCTTCTCTTCGAGGCGCCTGCATCAGAGAGGCGTCCCTGATGGCATGAGCCCACCTCTCAGCCTCCTGCAGGTTGACCAGCGGCTCCTGGACCAGCGCCACCCGAAAGCACTGCTCCACTCTCTGGCGGGCCACCCCGGCGCTCATCCAGCGCCTCTTGAATGGGTAGAAATAAGCCGTGAAGTAGGCGCCGATGTCCGCGCTGTCCGGCCCTCTGTATGCCCGACAGCCGATGCAGTCGCTCAAGTTGAACACCACCTTGGTCCGGTCGGGCGAGGAGGAGATCCTCTGGATGGTCAGGGCGCCCTCCGTCAGGCTCACCGAGTAGCGGACCCCGTAATTCAGGGTGTCGCTGAACTCTCCGTACAACACGCCGGAGAAGCCGTTCCTCTGCCGGGATGGGTCCGGCGGTGAGGCGTCTTTCTCCATCCCGGACGGAGAGAGAGACGCGTTCCGGAGGCCGGTGCGGAGCAGACTGAGGACCTGCTGCTGCTGTGGGACCCTTCAAACAGCCTGCCTGGCTCACGGGCTCCCCCTGGTGACTGTGAGGGGAACTATTTCTCTTCACTACCTGCAGTTCCTAGTTTGATGAAGGCTTTTATAATTTGTTCATTGGTATACTTTAATAATCAAAACTTTTTGAATCAGTTTGAACAGTAAACTTTTTTTTTGTTATTCACTTCCTATAATTTCTTGGGTATTTTTATTTTTTTTATATAATTTCTTTTTATTGTATTCTTGTGTACTTTTGACTATAATTCTGGAATTGTCTTTATTTAGGCAGGTAATGTAGGCCAGTATGGGGTTAAAATGTGTCATTCCTTTTGCTTTTTGAACTCTTGGCTTCAGGTTTAGATAGATTTTCTAACCTTTGAACTGATAATTACCTTTTATTCAGGGGAACTAGAATTCACATTTTCACTTTACAGCAATATAAAATACTTTAAATCATTATTTAAAAGTGTATTTATTTCCTTTTGTAGCTTAGAAGTTAACCGGTGACCTTTGGTATCCTTTTAAATCATGACATAGGTCATAGGGACTTAGAAATGCCCTCAATAAAAAATCATTAACAGAGAAAATGGGATAAAACACTTTTTATCTGTTGTGGGGGTGGAAGGGAAGGCTTCTGGGATAAAGGATAGATGGGAACATTAAAGGAATGTGGTGATTGATGGTTAAGAATGGGAGCTAATGTGTGAAAATGGACATGAATTGATCAACAGCCCGATGTGGAAAGAACTTTAATGGAAAGTAATCAACTCCATTTATCACCTCAGACTTTGACGACGTTAAAACAATCTGTGCTGCAGACATTGTGGACTAGTTAGTGATCACACATGCTTCTTTTAGGAATATCCAGAGATTAAACATCTCTGGGAAGGAATTAAAGAGAAAATGTTAAATATCCTATACATTTATGTTGAATGGATTCCCCTGTCTTTGTTATGGGAATACTCCCAAGAGAACTTGTTAAGTATAGAAAGAAGTATTTTCTAGGAGTCCTTATATTGGTAGCAAAGAAAAGCATCCCTGCATAAAGCTTCATTCCACTGGAAATCAACAGAGCAAGGGAATAATGAGAGTTTATGGAGAACGTAAATAACAAAGCTAAACCTATCCATTGATTTATTTAAGAAAATGTATTCAGATTTATTCAAATAAAACCCACCAATGGCATATTTGAATTTGAAATCACAGTATGTCATCTTTAAGCCATTTGTATGAACAATAGCAAAAAGTTTTAGTGGGATTTCAACTCACTAAGAAGTTCTTATCCAATATTATGTCTGGTTGTAATGTAAATTAATGTTGTTTTAATGTGCTTAATGCTTTTTAACAGTCTTGTTAATAAAACTGTTATTTTTATCATTTAAATAAAAAAAACTGTAGCTATTTCACAAACTGTTGTTTCAAATATGCCTTTTATTTATATATTTAAGATTATGGTTTATAGCTTGTAAAATTTTGACATTTTCTTGTGTTGGTCTAACCTGCTTTCTCAAGATTAAAGTCAGCACAGTAAGCAAAGGAATTTCCGGCTTCTAGCACACATTTATTTTGATGTTGATCTTTATTTTGTGCAGGACTTGGTACATGTTCCCACGTCACTAAAAGAACCAATATCTGATGAGAGATATTTGCTCGATTGGCCACCAAACTCATTAGACCACAAAGAGAATCCTTTGGGTCACTAATAAATCATGTGGCACCCCAACCAAGGATACTTTGTAGGAAGTCTAAATAAATCGAATGAGCTTAAATCATTTAAGTAAAGCTTAAGTAAGATTTAGATCACACAGAATGTATCAACTGAGAAAAAAAAGAGAAAATCCGTTCTTTTTTCAAATATATTTAAAAGGTTGGTTATTATACGGTAAAAGCTTTATTTAAAAGTGAATTTAAAGTAAGTGAGTGAGCGGATGAAACACATGATATACATGATTTACACACAGAATGATTCTTTTTAACTTGTTTCTGTTTTTATGAAGATGTTCTGGTAAAGGCTATGAAAAACCTAAATCTATAGAATGCTGCATCTAAAAAAGAAAATAAATCCCTGCAGAAATGCACACTCAGTGATAAATGTTTAATTTCTGCTTAAAAGATTAGTTCCAATATTTTTGCCTAACAGGCGAGCCTCTTTGGAACCCATATTCAAATTAATTGAATTTAGCTGTAGATGCTTAAAAGTATGTTAAACAACAATAGAGAACAGAAACTTTTAAATGTTCTTTTTTTTAATTAAGATTATACATTAACATAATTCCCAACATAGATGTTTATGAATAAAACATTTCATAAATGTCAGCGAAATCACAGATTTTCACAGCTGTTTTTTCATGAAAAATTAATGGATGCAAATAAAAAGCTTGTGTATCAAAAAATAAAACCTGAACTTTATTGATCACACTGGAGAAGTTTATCTCTGAACTTAACCCATCCCCTTGGAGAGCAGTGGGCTGCCATTGTGTGGCGCCCAGGGAGCAGTGTGGGATTAAGGGTCTTGCTCAGAGACCCAGAGTGCAGGCTGTAGTGATTGGACCGGGTACTTTTAACCTTCATCGAGCACAAGCATGCTGTTCTAAAATTTGGCACACAAAAAAATATATCAAAATACATACAAAATCTGTGATTTTAAATCATAAAAGACCAAAACACCAGGTTATTTTCAAGAATATGGGAAAACTGCTCACATAATATCAAGGATGTAAACACATGCAGAGCTTGTTGAAAGCGGTGATGGTTCTAAAGTCTAAAAGCTGCAGGGAGGGCAGGGCCTGCGATAATACCGCTTATGCCAAGCTTTTAGTGCACCTACAGTAGGATGTAACAGTCTGTCACTCAAGTAGTTTTCCTGCAACAGCTTCATGCTCGGAGTAGGAAACACTGTCAACAGTTGTTCCCTTCGTAACAGTCCTGCTGTCTCCCACTATCTGATCAAGGGGCCATCCTGTAAGACCAGTGAACTTCCTAATGAGCTCATCAGCTGTAGATTGGCATTAACAATTTACATCAGACAAAGGTTGATGTCAATAGAGTTGAACTGCTAAAGGTCTTCAGAAACGTCCCTCATCAGTCTCCTCACAGGGCTGTCAACTATCACCCATTGGGAGTGAGACTCACCCATCTCAGTGTCTTCACACACTCTCACTCCATATTCCCCATTTCTCACAAAAAAAAAAAAATGACAGACATTAAAACTCAACTCAGTCTAGTTTGATAATCTCCCGTTGGCATTTAGGAGTAATTAAACCAACACAAATATTGTAATTCTTAAAGCTATCAGGTTTGCTTCTTAGGAGCTCCACAAAAAGAAAAAGAACCATTGCATTTTACTTTTTAAAAGATCAGCCACCCAAGAAGAGACCAACAGCATCTAGAGAGGATGTGCAGAACAACTCATTTATCCAGGATTCATAGAGAAGAAACCACAGGGATGTTCTTCTTTTATTATTACTTACCTTATTCATTTATCTTTATTTTGGTCCATTTAATATGTTTAAAAACTTAATTTCCATCACAGCTTCCAAACTGAAACGTCCAGAGAAGTACTGTCTTCTGTCATGGTGAGTTTTTATAAAATCTACAGCCTCCTAGAAGGTCTGAATTGTTTAGCCGTTTTGTCAATTGTAAGAAAAACTAATAACATAATGAATGAAGCTTTTTAATCCTTAGCCTATTACCAAATATTCATACACAGTGTGGTTTCCATAGGTTTTGATTGCACTGGTTCCTGTATCAGTGCCAGTAATCCATTAATAGCTTATTAGTTCCCCATTGTTTAATTTACTTGAACTGCAGAGCATAATTAATGAGCAAAGTTGGGAAATTCTAAGTTTAAAGTATATTCAAGATACAAGTATTTTAGTAGGGCCCATTCAATTCTCTAAAAATCACCAGAATGTAGAAAATAAATGTATATTGTGAGAAACATGTTCCACATAACTAAAACCACTTATTGTTACTCAGTATCATTTACTGTTTTATAAAAAAATCCACATTTTGGGACTTTGTTTCAGTTAAATCCTCTGAAAACCTCCAACCTTTAGCTGCATCTATCCTCATCTCACCCTGACAGGGTTTCCTGTCCAAACTATTTCAAAATCTCAGCCCAAGGTTTGGTGAAAAGTTGGCAGCCCTGTCCTCCATATGTAAAATCTGAAGGTTTATGGTTTCAGGTCCAATGGCATAGGCAGAAAATGTTTATAAGGGTGGCCAGGCAATATCCAATGTACACTGAGGGGTGGCCGAAAGTGGATAGGCACCAGAACCTCACGGTCAGTCTACACTGTTCCAACAGGAAAAATAATGAGCAAAACATCCATATTTTCTAAATAAAGACAAACTATACTTTCTCACAGCCTTTGCTTACTACAAGACGAATATATTCAAACATCTGTGCTTTGTAGATAAAAGGTATAGTGGGTAGAATTCTTTCAGGTTTGAGTTCTAGGGCGAACATCTTTTCAATCATAATTACTTACCTACTTTTATCAGTAATCATTCTGCATAAAATTGATATTTACATTTACTAATTTCTACATAAGTTGATTATCTAATAAGTTTTTCTTAAAATAGTTATTTATCTATGATTTCACCGAAGACTCCTAGATGACTTACAGAGACACATTTTCTCTTTACCCCATAAAACACTAAATCTATTTTTGCTTGAATTCTGTACTTATCATCTTTAATGTTAGTATATTGATGTGCATAATTAACCACAGTGTTTTTGTTGTCAAGTAATTGTTGATATAAGAAAAATTAAAATGTTTTGAATATTCCACTTGAGAGTATTACTGTTGCCACCATCTGTATTATAGGGAAATAAATGGTACGGGTGGCCACAGGGGTGGCCAATGATTGGCTAAGGGTGACCATGGCCCCCCATGTCCCCCATCCAGCCCCTGTTAAGGTCAAGAATTCCTGTGGTGTCTAACTGTTGGGACTTGTGTGAAACAAATGTATATATATATATAAATCATTCCACATCATGCATGAATAAATTTAATCTGATTACTCGAATTACCTTCTAGTTTAAAACCTCTGTCACAAATCATTGAGGAAAACAGCTTCTCACATGTATGAATTCTCATGTGTAACCAGTGGTGGTAGCTACCAGGGGGGGCAGGAGGGAACCAGCGTGTTTTCATGGGGGCACAGAAAAGCATGAAATAAAAAACAGGGCCAGGGATTCAAATATATTAAGAGAGCTGCATGAAGTGAAATTTCTATTCAATTAGGTTTAATTATAATTCTACACCTTATTAGGTCAATATACATTCATAATTTCGGAAGTTAAAATTGAAGTTTTCTATAAAATCTGAATTAGAACTTAAGAAAAACTGATAAATTCAGCTGAAAAAATTTGAGCAATTTGTTTTGAAAATAAATTAGCAGATAAAAACTGGAATCCTATCTCAATACCACTGAAGCTATCACCTCAATGCTTTTAAATAATTAGAAAAATAGAATTTGTAATGGAGAAAAAAAAAGAAATAGATTCAAAGCCCATATCATCATTAGAATTTCTTATTATGTCTTCTGTTCAGGGGCCAGGACGTGATCTACAGGGGCACTGGCCCCCGTTAGCCCCTGTCTAGAACCGCCCATGTGTGTAACACCTGAGTACTTCCTTTATTATAACGGTAATATTGTAAATAGAAAGCTTAGAAGAAAGTAGAAGTTTGACATGTTTTATTTTCAGGAATTCGTTTATTAATCAGCAAAAAAAGGCAACTTTTCCAAAAGAAACGTAATAAATCACGTGCTTGGTGACGTTTATGACGGATAAATACCGGAACATCGCGAGATTTCAGTAACTTCGGTCCTTTCTTCAGCTCAGCTAGAGCTGCTGGTGAATATGAGCGACTCGGTTGCAGGAATTTTAGTCATTCGACTGAACCAGTCTGATAATATGATGTCCTCTGCAGACGATCCACCCTGATAAGGTACATGTTTAATAAGTAACCTGATATTCTGACTGTAAAGGTTGGCTAATTGATGAAGCATGTGTTGCTGCTAGCTAGCCTTTAGCCCAGCAACACGTGTTGGGTTCATTTCTGTTGTATTAACCCGGGATAACGTGGGAAAAATATATATATTTTCACATGAGAACTGAAACAAATATGTATTTTAAACAATCAACTTATTTACAGGTTTCTAGATGGAGATTTTGCAGTGACCACTAATCTGTGTTCAAGAGAAAGGAGATCTGGAGGTAAAACTTAGTTTAAGAACTTATTTTGAATGCTTTTCTACAGTAGATGTGATGAGTTTGTTATCCCTGTCTGAAACTAGAGTGTGGAAATCAATACTATCTGAACTGCCTCAGGGTGATGTTAAAAAGACTGGACTTGATGGAAGATCAATAATGCAACATGTTGTTACAGGGCCGATGAGATGACGTCCACGTGGAGGAGAAACCATGGAAAGGTTTGTTTCTTCTCTATCCTCAAGATCTTTTGTCATTCTTTGATAAAAACTGCTGCATATGAAGTGCTGTCTTCTGAAAACCAATCAAAGCATGTATAGGTTTGATGTAAAGTCTTTGCTTGTAATAATCACCATGTTGTAACTTCTTTCAGGATGTGTTCCGGTTGGGAGGTGCTTTGAAGATGACTGAGGGGTCCTAAGGATACTCAAAGGTGTGTATATGTACGAATATTTGCTTATTTAAATCAAGCCAGTGATGATAAAAGTTATCCCTGTCTGAAAATTAAAAACTTTGTGGAGTTATGGTAATCTGAGGCTTGGCACAAAGTAACACGCAGTGTATTTTTTATTAACTGATGAGATGTAATAACTCTTTCCCTTTCTATTGCTTTACAGTTGGAGGTGGAATAAGGCCAGGTTGGATGAATCTGGATGTGTGATGCTTAACGCAGGAAGTGGGGGGGGAAAAGAATGAAGCTGAATGTTGTAAAACATTTATTAAATAGATATAATAATAAAACAGCTTTTGATCAAAACGTGTGTTATTCTGGGTTGAACTTGTAGGGATTCCTCTGTAAATTTTCTAGAAAGATCTGTTCTTGACGGAGGAATTCATCGTCCTGTGGAAGACAAAAGGGGGAAGCTTCAGGTTTATAAGGAGTTACACTGGAAAACTTAATTTTATGGTAGACAAGTGAACATGAGATGATTTTTTTTTTTTTTTTGTACCTCTTTAATTGAATAAACTTGAGTTCTATATTCTTTAAGTTCTGAAAACGTCAAGATTTCTAAGCCTTCAAACATAATAGTCCTAATTTAATGGTTTCCTAAATGTTTGTTTATTCTGGTTAACATGTAGAGAATAATTATGAAAAGTAATTTTAACATTAACAATTGACATAACAGTTTTCTTTGTATAGGGAGAAAAGCTTGGGGAATTTAAAAATTTTCGCAGGATAAAAAATGTGATTTAAATGTGCTTTGGTATTCAGTTTGTGTTTAATTTGAAATTAATTTATCACTTCATAAACCATGCAATACAATATATTTTGTATATGTAGATTAGGGGTGTGCAAAATAATCGTGATGATGATGCATCGTGATTCTAATTTTCGTGATCTACTGCATCGATTCTTGATGCCAAGAATCGATTATTAATAAAAAAAAATGAATAAATAAAATTGCATGAATGGTTGGCGAACATCAGCCAAAAACAAGTGTAATACAACTTTCAGTCCAGTAGATATCGCTGCAAAAATGTTGACGCACGCTGCCTTGTGTCACAAGCATTTCCGGCCGCGGGATACTGTGCCGAGTCATTCAAAAACAAAACATGGAGGAGAAATATTGCAATGCATCGCAATAATTCAAGTATCGTGATGCATCGTGATAGAATCGCATCGTGACTTCTTTGGCAATACCCACCCCTAATGTAGATGAGTCCCACAATTTATAAAGGAAAATCATGCTTTGATGGTTACTGACGTAGGCAGCTATGCTAGACTTTTAACATTGAACCAGTGTAATAGAAAAGCTTTTATATTACAATGTCTAGAAGAAAAGAGGAAAATATTTTAAGCCATAGCTTCCTATCCAGTTATCTACAAGCTTGAACACTTCAGTTTGTTTAGAAATGGCTGCAATTGCAGGCATTTTTGCGCAAAATTAAATTTGCCTCAGTTTGTAGAGATGCACCCAATCCGGTTTTCTTTAGTACTTGAGCCAAGTGAATTTATTGATACCCAGTACTGATCAGTACTATTTAATAAAAGAATGGTACACCATCTATCAGACAATGTACCAACAAAAAGAAATAATGTAAATCCACTTCAGATATTTTAACATTTAAAATAGAATATAGCAGCTGCCTTTATATCGTGTAAGATATTAATAAAATAACTGGACCAGAATGCTGGATTGGTGTCAGTCATATATTCTGCTAAATAATCAGTGTATGAGCCAATATTTGAACTGAGTATCGGATCGATGCATCTCTAGTGGTTTGGAGTGTTGTCAGTGCTTTTTAACCAAATACCTTTGCAGCAGTGTACTTCCACAGAGCCAGACTAGCCTCAAGCATCATGGGTTGATAGCTAGCCAGAGAACTTGAAGGGTTGGGCACTTCTGGCACAGGTGGCACTGAAACAGAGTCTACAGAAGAAATGACTCCTGAAAGTTTGTTAACTTTAAACTGATTAGTATTTCTTTATTAAATGTATTCATCCAAACCTGGTAAAATAGGTGGAATAATCTGAGGAGATGGTAAGATAGGGGAATGTTCTCGGAGCCTTTCTGCGTCTCTCTTTAGACGATTAAGTCGCATGCCTTCCTGTAACATTAGATTTCTATTTAATATCAACAATAAGACGTTTTTTTAAAAGAAATATTAGTACCATGATGTGCACCTTCATGATCTGCTGCTCCAGCTGCCTTAGGTTCTCTGTTTTAAGTTGAATATTTTTTAATCGGGCCTCATGCCCAGACTCAACGCGTTTGGCTTCCTCCAACGCTCGTTCGCCCTCCTTGTACCTCTCTGCTGCAATCTGAGAACAACACTTAAGTTAAATTTCAAACCCTTGCAGACTGCAGAGGTCAGAGCGGTGATGGAATCACCTTGCTGAAGGCCTCGACCTCTTGGGCCCTTGTTTTGAGCCTTAGAGCTATGCTGTTTGTCACCTCCCTCTCTCTGTCCAGCTCTGCTCTTAGTCTGGCCAGAGTCTCTTTCTCCTGAGTCACCGCCAGCTCCTTCTGCTTTACCTCATCCAATCGAAGCTTTAGATCAGCTTGTTCCTGTAGACCAAGAGAAAATAATAATGGAAACCTGCATCTCCTTCCTCAGAAGTTAGAATAATGAGACTCATTTGTACCTGACTCTTCACTTGAGAGGAGAGCTCTCCGAGGCGGGAAGAGAAGTGCTCCATCTGCTCAATCACCCCTACCAGAGATCTGCACAAATACAGTGGAGTCATGATCTGGAAGTGGGCCTGAATTAGCTTAAAGGTTACTAAAATAAAAAACATCAGGAGAGCTATGGAATCTACTCCCCTCCTGGTTGGTGGTTGGACTCGGCCTCGAGCATCTTACTGTGTTGCTCATGAGTCATAGTAGGATAAATGAGAGACTAAATGGTTTGCTGATTTGTCTGCAGTAATGGCTCAGTGGAAAAACAATCGAAGAGAAAAGCCAGCAGTTTTACCTATCTACCCAACAGAACATGATTCCACTCACTTATCTTAACCGCTGATATCCAAGAGGATCTCTGCACGAAGGCTGGACTAGATGACTAGATTGAGCCCGGCTATAGTGGGTTAATGGATGCTACACCCCTTCAGACATCATCTAGGTGCACAAGGGAGACCCTTTTTCTGTTCTTAGAACAAAAGCTTCTCAGCTTTGATGGGAACCGTCATCTTAAGATGATAGAAAGAAGTATTAGACTGGTTCTAGTGAGAAGACTCTAGGTGGGGTTGGCGTTTCCCCAAATCAGGCTGGGTGAGCAGTTTGGGGACTTTCAGATCTCTCTTTATACAAACTGGTTATGTATTTGGTTGACAGCAGCTCAGACTTATTTCTGGTGACTGTGGCAGTCTGCTGAGGATATTTTTTCCTTTATGTTCCTTTAATATCCCAGATGGGCTTTAAAAGTCAATTGGGATGTAGCAACTGTAGAGTCTTATGATCTTAAAACTGCTTGTTTAATTTTTCAAAGTCATGTGCCATTGGCTTAACGGAGGCCTCCAGTGGCAAGGGAGTGGTTTCTGAAAATGGCAGAGTACCAAATGTGCAGAACGGATTAGAAATGCTCTGATTTAATTAATAACAGACTGTAGAACAGAGCAGCATGAATTGGGCTGTATGTAATGTGTTAATTGCAATGTCTGTGCTCATTATTAAACTACAGTGTGGAGCTCCAATTATCACATTTTGAATCCAGCATGTGAGGAAACCGCTTAAAACGGAGGGTAATAGGTTTCCAAGTTTCACCTGGTTTGAGATGTTGCACTTGTCACAGCGTCGATCTCTTCATCCTTTAGCCTCTTCAGTCTCTGAAGCTGATCCTCGTGGTCTTTTTTCATCTCCAATATAGATTTTCTAGAAAGGACAGGGGGTCAAATGTAACCATGAATGTTCTGGTGTTGCAGGATACATTAAGGATATTGATATCAGAACAACAATATCGCCACCATGAAATATATCAAACTGACAAAACTGTGTTCTGGAATTAATTTACCTCTGCAGGTCTTGGAGCCTCTCCACCTCACGGTCTCTGTCCTGCTGGGCCTGGGCCAGTTTCCGGTGGTACTGGGCCTGCAGCTCTGAGTGTTCCTGCTCGGCCGACCTCGTTAAGGTAGCTAGGCGTTCCATCAGCTCCTCGCACTCGAGTCGAGCTCGGCTCTCCCTTTGGGCTGCTGCTTCCTCCAGCAGTTTCACACGAGTCCTTAAAACCCACATGAACAATATCCACACATTAGCAAAGCACAGGTTTACAGAAGGTCCTTTCAGTAAAGCTGTTTTACTTGTGTGAGTTCTCCAGAAGCTGCATCTCCTGCTTGTGCATCTGCTGGATGTTCTCTAACACCAGTTGGCTTTGCTCTCGCTCCAGCTGCAGTAGTTTCACCTGGAATGTCACATTTATATTTAGACAGGAAAATAACCCAAAAACAAAGGGGAAGCGAGGCTTGTTTAGGAGGTACCTCTCCCTCCAACTGGATGATGCGTGCTCGTAAAGCCTGGCATTCTCCCTGCTGTTGCTCCTTGTCTTTGAGCCTCTGCAGGGCTCCTTCATCAGGACTCCCCAGACCCAGCAACTGAGTCTGCATTATCTTTGAAAGAAGAAAAGCTAAAAACCAAGAAGAATACAGGAGAATACCCTGAAGTGAGAGTAAACATGTCCTTACCTGCTGTTGTAGTAGCAGCTGCTGCAGATTGTTGGCTGTATAGGACGCCTATTCAACAGGAGGACAACATCAGAATAAAATGGATGCGAAGAGCTTTATATATAAAACAGTAATAATACCTGTTGCTGCACGGGAGCTGATGTTGCCTTTATTTGATTTTGCTGAAGATCTGCAAGAAAGAACATAATCAAGAGTAATATTGACTCTAAATGTCAAAATAAGAGCAATGCCTTAGAACAGTAATAGTCCCCTTTAATATTTTTGTTTTTGTCTGATTACATCTGATTCTCATGTATTTATTGGGATCTTATGTTGTTTACTACCACAAAGTGACACATATAAGGGAAGTGGAAGGAAAAACTTAGAGAAGGGTTTTTAAGTTTAGAGCAGATGGCCTGCTGCAGGATCTGTTCCTGCCCCAGTCTCAGGTGTTTTAAGGACTCTTAATGCACCAGTTCCCACACTTTTCACCCGTGGTGCTAAAATAAAAGGGACAAAGACTGGTGGTCCCCTATAAACGCATTTCCCTCTATATTTAGACACAAACATAAAGCAATTATTTTCATT